TCAACTCCCTTGTTGACCTGCAAGGACAGTGGCCAGATCCATGGAATGCTCCAGAAGTCATTGCACACCCATAAAGCACAACCTCCACTCCCACACATCCCCAAACCCCCTTCCCCTGGTAATCCACAGCTGCTACCCACCCTGCCACCAGTAGATGGGCCCCAGAGTCATCTTGCAGAGGAGCTTCCAATCCCCCTCCTGTATATCTTTAAAAAAAAAAAAAAAAAGAGGTAACTATATTGGCACACTGATATAATTCAGACAGATTTGGCATTAATCAAGCCCAGAACACTCACCAGTTATTAGCTGCCTTTTCCCAGCAGTGTAACGCTTGCTTGGGTCAAAGAGCAACCTGGGCAGTAGCCTATAGCTGGCAGCAAGCTTATCTTTTAATTTGCTTCTCCGTGAGTTTCTTTTTTAAGATTCATTTTCCTAAAAATATATATTTTACTTATTTGAAAGTTAGTGTTACTGGAATCAGGATAAATAGACATGTTCTGGTCTCAGTGCCGTGGCTTAACACTTAAAATCCTTGCCTTGAATGCACCAGGATCCCATATGGACACCAGTTCTAATCCCGGCAGCTCCACTTCCCATCCAGCTCCCTGCTTGTGGCCCGAGAAAGCAGTCAAGGACAGCCCAAAGCTTTGGGACCTTGCACCTGCACGGGAGACCCAGAAGAGATCCTGGCTCCTGGCTTTGGTTCAGCGCAGCACCGGCTATTGCAGTCACTTGGGGAGTGAATCATCAGATGGAAAATATTTCTCTGTCCCTCCTCCTCTATACATATATATTAGACTTTGCAATAAAAATAAATAAATCTTTTTTTTTTTTTTAATTGGAAAGGCGGATGTACAGGGAGGAGAGACAGAGAGGAAGATCTTCCATCCGATGATTCACTCCCCAAGTGAGCGCAACAGGCCGATACTATGCCGATCCGAAGCCAGGAGCCTGTTTTGGGTCTCCCACGCAGGTGCAGGGTCCCAAAGCTTTGAGCCGTCCTCGACTGCTTTTCCGGGACACAGGCAGGGAGCTGGAAGGGAAGCGGGGCTGCCGGGATAGAACCGGCGTCCATATGGGATCCCGGGCGTGCAAAGCGAGGACCTTAACCACTGCGCCACCGCGCCGGGCCCGAAATAAATAAATCTTTAAAAAAAATAGACATATTCTACCCCTTGGTTCACTTCCCAAATCACTGCAACAGCTAGGGCAGGCACTTTGGACCTGGCATAGTAGCCTACTGGCTAAAGTCCTCGCCTTGCCTGTGCTGGGATCTCATATGTGCCCTGGTTCATGTCCCGGCTGCTCTGCTTCCCATCCAGTTGAGGGTGGCCCAGAGCCTTGGAACACGGCACATATGTGGAAGACCCGGAAGAAGCTCTTGGCTCCTGGCTTCAGATCATCTCAGCTCTGGTCATTGGGGCCACTTGGGGAGTGAGCCTCTGTAAATCTAACTTTCCAATAAAAATAAATAAATCTTCAAAACAAATCAAAAAAGCCATGCGTTTTATCTGAATCTCCCACGTTGGGTACAGGAGCTAAGCACATGGGCCATCTTTCACTGCTTCCCCTGGAAGAAAGCAGGGACGTGGGTCAGAAGTGGAACTGCTGGGAGTCAAACCAGCACCCTTGCAGGATGTCAGGGTTGCAGGTGATGGCTTAACGTGCTGTACCACAACCCCAGCCCCTCTGAACTTTTTGGCATATCCTTTTTTTATAAACTTTGGTCTTTGCTTTTTCACTTATATCTTCATTTTCTAAACTGCCATATTCCTCTAAACAGAAAAGTTCTTAACCATCCAATCCCATTTTTGAACACTGGGTTATTTCTGTTGTTCCCCACTATAAATAATCCTGCAGACACTGCTATGCAAAAATCTTTGTGCTTTGGAGCTTGATTACTAAAACTGGAATTAGAGAATGTACGTGTAACTTTTTTTTTTTTTTTACATTTATCTTTATCAGAAAGGCAGATTTGCAGAGAAAAAGATCTTCCAGCCACTGGTTCACTCCCCAGAAGGGCTACAACAGCCACAGCTGAACTGACCTAAAGCCAGGAGCTTCTTCCGGGTCTCCCATGTGGGTGCAGGGTCCCAAAGCTTTGGGCTGTCTTCGACTGCTTTCCCAGGCTACGAGCAGGGAGCTGGATGGGAAGTGGAGCAGCTGAGACATGAACTGACACCCGTATGGGATCCTAGGATGTGCAAGGCGAGGACTTTAGCCACTAGGCTACCATGCCAGGCCCCACTTGTAATGCTTTTAAGTAATAGAAGAAAATAGACATAAATAAGAACAAATAAGGGAAAGAACCATGTATTTCTACCACCACCCATTGCTTTCATCACCATTCCCGCACTGATGTTACCACTAGCCCTCCACAGGGAGGCAGACAGGAGCAGGCAGTGGGCCCAGCCCCACACTGCACACACAGCAGCCTCCACTGCAGGCCATATGTGCCCTCCACCCTCAGCACCCAGGAAAGCCCAGCCCAAAGAAGCTACTTGCATCTGGCCCCTGGACTCTGCCCTCCGGAGCCAGAGACTTCTCCAAGGCCAAGGGTGTGTCTGCCCAGATCCAACAACTGCAACGGGAACCTGAGGGAGCCTGGACGCCCTGTACCCGTCAGCCACCAGAGTCGCAGGGAGTTCAGCATCTGTTCCTGCTGCCAAGGGCAGAAAGAAGGGAGATAAAGGAAGAATCCTGAATGCAAGGAGCGGGCAGAAAGGGCTGAGTGGCCGGCCATCCCCAGAGGCGAGGATGTCTAGGTGTCGCTGAGAATCTGCGGTCTGAGCCTGTCCCTGCAGGTGCCCGTGTAGAGTAGCAGGCAATGGAGTCTTACCCCGCCGACCCAGGCTGTGCTAGCTGCCCTTGGAGGGTACTCTGCTCACACTCTTCCCTCACCACAGCTTCCCCCACAGCTCAGAGACTCAGGCCAAGTGACTCCTCCTCCCTTCCCTGATGGTTTTACTTTGTCCCACTCCCAACCCTGACCCAGCTGCATGTACATCCCATGCTGGCCCAGAAGCTGAAAGCTTCCTGAGGCCTGGGACAACCTCACAGGCTTTCCCATCCAGGACACACAAGCCACAGGCCCCAGGAACCTCAAGCAGCACAGAGCCGAGGGCTACCTTTGTTCAAAAGCAGTTCAGCTTGTGCCAGTGTACTGACTGACCTTTCTTCACTTCGTGTTTAATCTCTAATTGCACAAGGAAGAAAGCTTGCAGGGCACCGCCCCCTTCTCTCTCCCCACGGCTCTTAACCTGGCACACCATTCTTAGGATAGGGTCAGAAAGCAGCTCTTAGCATACCAGCAGGCACATGTGCACACACGCACACACAGACACGAACGATCACAAAGCTAGGAAAGCAGCATGACATCCCCCTGGGCAGAATCACGGATGATTATCCCTGCAGCCCCACCCCACAGGGGACCAGCCTCTTGGCATACCTCGCCCCTCACTTCACTCCTGAGGTGGCCACATCCCTGAAGACATGATCCCTCTTAAAAATGAACACTGACCGTCCTGGGGAAGCCAGCATATACCTCAGGAGCAAGCTAGGGCCTTGAACTCAAGAGCCAAGGAGTTGACCTAGCCTCTCCCCTCCCCACCGCATCCTGCTCATTCCCCTATGGATGTGGGACTCTTACTCGTTAGCGTGTGCCCTGAATTTTCACTAGTAATGGTGCTCCAATTTTATACACGTTTTAGCCCAGCAGCATCACTAGGAGCCCAACACAGTTGACACCTGATCCTTTTTTTTTTTCCCTCTCTCTTCCTAATCTATTTTATTTGGAAGATAGTGGCAGCGAAGGAGATACAGAAAAAGATCTTCCATTCACTGGTTCACACCCCAGATGGCCATCAGGTTAGGACACACTGAGACCAGAAGCCTGAAACTCTATCTGGATCGCAGGGATCCAAGTGCTTGGACCATTATCTGCTGCATTTTCCAGGCACATATCCCAGAGCACTGGGTCGGAGGCAAAATAGCCAGGATTCGAACTGGCAAATCCAGTCTGGGATGCCCATGTTTCAGCCTGAGCTTAACACACTGAAGCACCATACCATCCCTAGCACTTGGTTGTTTGCCCTAGAGACCCTGGGCTGTGATGCCATCTTCTTCCTGTCAGTGAAGGCAGTGACACCAGTCCAGTTCAAGGAACACAAGCTGACTGTCACGCCCAGCCTATCTGCCACATCATCGTGTCCTTGGATCGGGAGGAGGTGTCAATGAACAAACAAACGTAGGGACACTTGATGGAACAGTATTGAATAAGAGCTTTCCAGGCATCCAGGTCCCATGATAACATCTGTACTTCCTGTGTTTTCTAGAAGAGCACCTCAGATAATAGAGCAGAGACAGGGTCCCTCCCTGCCCCTGCCACCTGTAGAGTGACTGGGAAGTGCAGCCTTTCCTGAGGAGAGCTTGGGATTGGAGCTGCCTGGTACAGGGGTTCCTATTGGACAGGGCTCCCGGGTCTCCAAACAAGGAATCCCCACCCCCCATCCCATTTGCCATTCCGGATCCTGTGTGAATCCAGTTTTAGAGAGGCAGCAGTGAAGATGCCCAATCACTGGGGCCCTGCCACCCGTGTTAGAGACTTGGCTTGAGTTCCAGGCTCCCAGCCTGAGCCCAAGCCAAAACTCAGCCGCCACGGGCGTTTGAAGAGTAAACCAGCAGATAAGATCAATCTCTGACTCAAATTATAAAACTATAAATTAAAAAAAAAATTTATCTAAACAGTAGCATCTTGGGGAGTGGAGAGAAGGCCTCTCCCTTAGGTACATATTCCTGTTTGTTGAGTAAACAGATTTTCTTATCACGTGCACATAGCTGGGGACAACCTAACCAGACCCTTTTCAGGAAGGGAGGTGAGTCAGTGACGCAGCCACTGCGGAGCACCCGGGCTGGAAGGAGACCAGAGGGAAAGAACAGGCGTCTGCAGGTGCAAGGACAGCCTTCACTCAGACCCCCTGTCCCTTTTGCTTCCTCCACAGACGAGCTGTCCGTGGGACTGGGCCGGCTGAAGAACATCGCCCTGGGGATGCAGACGGAAATTGAGGAGCAAGACGACATTCTTGACCGGCTGACCACCAAAGTGGACAAGTTAGACCTTAATATAAAAAGCACAGAAAAGAAAGTGCGACAGCTCTAAAGAACCAAAAAGGACCTCCACTACTTGGTGAGGAAGAGACTTGAACAGATCTTTAAAAACTCCCAAGAAATCTCATTTCTTATTTTAGTATGTCATTTAATACGTGTTGGCACAAATGTTCTAATAGAGTGGGTCTGAAGAGATTTTTGTTGCCCTGAGGAACTGTGTGTCCCATGTTTTCTTAGGGCCGACTCCTCTTAAGTTCTCTCAGCCAATGTGAGATGAATACCTTGGGCCTTTGATGACCATGTTGGAATGAGAAGAAAAGTTGTATTTCTCACTTTCACGAGTATGTGGAAAGGTGTGGGCAGAAGTTCAGTGTTCTACCCGCCAACTGCTTTTTCCCTGTTTGATGTGTTACTCATTCCTAGGCCATACATGAGTCAGAACGTTCTGGGACCCTGTGAGTCGGTTTGTGTGGGGAGGGTCCTTCCCACAGCGCTGTGCAGGAGTTATCATGCCATTTGCGCGCCCACTCTCTCTCACGCACACACAAACACACACAGCATGTCATTTGTGATTCTCAGCCCCCTGGGAAAGGGTCAATGTTAGATCCGTCAGTGCTGACACAACAGCATGCCTGTGGCTTCAGATCAGCACTGCTCACTGTGATCACCTGGAAATCTGCAGAAAATTGGGCAAACCCTTCTTCCCCTCCTCTCTCCTCTCCAGTTGGAAACAGATTTTCCATTGGCACAAAGCCACGTGATTGACACATGGGCAGTACAGTATAGGTTGTAGGAGTGTCACACAGGGCCAAGCACACTGCTCTTCCTCCTCTGAGCCTTCTACTCCATTGGCCAAAGCTGAGTGTGATGGAATATGTATTCTGGACCTGGAGTCTCCTGACCTTCTGCACTTCCTGCAAGATAACTTATTGCAACAGCACCTGGTCCTGTGCCACCCGGCTTTAAAACAGTGACTCTACAAATAACGCTGACTTCACACAGAGGGATTTGGCTAAGGGAAGAAAAGCCCAGCTGTTAACGTTAAGTGGCCCAGCTTATTTTTTACAAAAGGAATCATCGGAAAGCATTCATTAAACTGATATCTACCATAAAATCAATTAGTCTTCAGTGAAATCATTGATGCCACAGACCTTTTTTGTTTAAAAAAAAAATAGAGCATTTCGAAGATGGTGAGAAGGACTGATCTTAATAACATGGAAGGTCACAAACTTTCAATCGCAGTGCCTTTCACCTTAAACTTGTACCATCTGGGGCTGCTTTCCTTCGGAGTCTGTGGCCTATAAAAAGTCATCCACAGAGCTCAGGCCACCCCTGGGTGCCAGTCGGGCAGAAGTCCACAGCCTGTGATACCCAGCCTTCTCAAAACCACTGACAGCCTCCGTGGCAGACACAGCAGCTTCCTCTGCACAGCACTCATGTCCCATCAACCTCGGGGACTCGGCCCCCACATCGTCTCAACTACCCGAGTGTGAGGAGGAGTTAGTTAAAGGTGATCAAAATCCAGCTGGTATTTATCACATGAGCTCAGCATCACTTATCCCCCTGACAACGCCTGGAAGGGAAACGTTCCACACAACTCGCAGCCCAGGCCACACCAATCCCCGGGCCTTTCAATCAGAAGTGCAGAGCAGCCCACGTGAGTATTTCCGCCTGCCCCACTTTCCGGTTGTTTTTTTTTTTTTCCTCTTCACACCCTCTTCCATGTACATCATCATAACTTTGTCATCACCAGGCCTAGATCTGTGAGTTATTAGTCACTGAGCCTCAAAACCAAAACTTGTTTGTTCAGATAATTGCATCTAGCAGCCACTGTCATTAACACCAGACGGTCAGCCTCCCATCTGCAGATGGAACCAGTGAGTCCGTGGACTCGAAGCCAAGTGAAATGTCTTACTTTTATGTAACTTGCCTGTCTCCTGTAGGGTTGGTGAAGCCAGTCATCCTCCCCCACTGCCCTATTGTGTTTCATTTTGTTGTTTCTCTTAAGTACACAAAAAGAGTGGTCTCAACTTTTCCAGAAGCACCTCTCTCTGGGTCCTGTTCGAGAGGACCTGCTGCATCTCATCCCATGCTTGAACCCTCTGGTTCAAAGTCCTGGGCTGAGGGGCCTTCCCTAAACTGCATACTGTCCCACTGCCACTGCCTGCGGGGTCCTCCCCTGCACCCATGCTCACCGCGAACTGGTTGCGCACTCCAGTTCAGAGAGTGAAGCAGCTCGCCCTTCCACCAAGAATGAAGGAAGGCCTGATGAATTGGAGGAAAGAAGAAATTCCACCCTTGAGACATGGCATGGACACACGCACAGGTGCCGCCAGCCTGGGTACCATGGGCCTTAGCACCACAGAGGACTCCTCCTTCTTGGCAGATGGACTCCATGAAACAAATTCCCGTCTGCACTGACACACTGGAAACAAATTGTGCCTTCACCAGCAGCAGAAAGAAACCAGCTTCTCCAGCTTTGAAGTTGGCAGCTGTCAAAATGTGCTATTACTAACTTTAACCTTTACCAAGTGCATTCTCCTGGGAAGGAAGCTTTCTAACGTGAAATCCGTGACCTAACAGCAGTGGGGTTTTTTGTTTTGTTTTGTTTGTGCATTCTGCAGGCAGGGAGACCTGAATTTAGCTCAGGTTCAAAGGGGGAAAAAAAAATACATGCATTTTGATCTAACTGCCTCTTGTGAATATTACGGAGTTTTAAGTGTACACTGCACCGGTTGATTTTAATGCTTCACACTTTGCTGCAGAATTTTGCAAGTTACCAGTTTTGTGCACCATCGTCAGTCCTGCTAGGATGTCTTGTGTACGCAATGATCAGCCAGGCACTCGAAGCACTCCTGATGTGGGGACAGGGTGGGGCAGGGACTCTTGGTTCAGAACCTAGATCTGTATCTGCCATGCCTCCTTCATTCAGCAGTGACCATAATCCGTAAAATAAAATAGGAAGTCAGTTTTGATCGGTTTTTGTTTAATCAAATTCAGTTTCTTCCATGATTACTTCACTGAAGGAGTCTACTTTATTGTACCTGATATCACACTGAGATACCCTCCTCAGGGGCACTGGGGGTCCAGCACGATGGTTTAATGGCTAAATCCTTGCCTTGCACACACCAGGATCCCATATGGGCACACGTTCCTGTCCCAGCAGCTCCACTTCCCATCCTGCTTGTGGCCAGGAAAAGCAGTCGAGGATGGCCCAAAGCCTTGGGACCCTGCACCCACATGGGAAACCAGAACAGTCTCCTGGCTTTGGATCAGCTCAATTCCAGCCATTGCAGCCCCGTGGGAAGTGTACCCTCAGATGAAAGATCTTTATGTCTCTCCTCTCTGTAAATCTACCTTTTCAATCAAAATAAATAAATGTGTTTAAAAAAAAAATACTCTCTTGAGGCAAAGGATTTGGTTGGCCTCAGTTGCTTACAACACTCACCTTCCATGTCGGGGTGCTGAGGTTCGAGTCCCTGTTGCACTGCCATTCCTGGCTCCCTCCAAGGTAGCAGGGATGACTCAAGTACGTGGATCCTGGCCAGTGGGAGATGGGGATTGTGTCCAGGGCTCTTGGTATCAGCCTTATCCAGGCTTCACTGCTGCTTGCATCTGCAGAGTGAACAAGAGAACAGGGCCTCTTTATTTCAGATGATCAGCCAAGTGTGAGAAAGAAAAGAAACCTCTTAATCAACATAAAGTTTCTTTCCATTCTTTCTCCATGCTCCTGCCCCCCCCTCAACAATTTTCTGTGCCAGGGTCTGACCAACTGCTGTAGCAGCCAGCTGTGCCTGTGTTAGGATCACAGGCCAGTCTCTACCGAGTCCACAGTCATGGGTTCTATGTGACATTTCAGTCAGTAGCAAGCCACATTTACAAACGTGATCCTACTATGTTGTATTGCCTGGTGAAATTGTACCCAACTTAGTGTAAGCCCACTATGTTGTGCGTACAACCAATCAGCTGCTGAGGGGCTGGAGTTGTAGTGCAGCTGGTTACTCTGCCATCTGAGATACCAGCATCCCATGTAAGTGCTGGTTCCAATCCAGCTCCTCGCTAATGGACCTAGAAAAGCAAGAGGATAGTCCAAGTGTCTAAATGCTTGTCAGCCAGATGAGAGACCTGGAAGCAGACCCAGGTTCCTAGCTTCAGCCTGGCTCAGCTCTGGCCATTGTGGAAATGGAAAATGGGTTTTTTGGGGGGGATTGGGGGGCACGGAATCTTTCAAACACTACCTTTCAATAAGTAAATCCTATATATCCCTATTGAGGCTGATATTGTCTTATAGAAGGTTAAGCAATTGCCTGCAATACCGACATCCAATATTAGCAATACTTTGAGTCCCAGCTGCTCTACTTACGGCCCTCCTCCCTTCTAATGCACCTGGGAAGGCAGAAGATGGCCCATGTGCCCCTGCCACCCACATAGGAAACCTGATGGAATTCTAGGCTTTTTGCTATAGCCTGGCCCAGCCCTGGTCATTGAGGCCATTTGGGAGAATATACAAGCAAATGGAAGATCTTTCCATCTTTCTCTCTGCCTTTCAAATAAGTGAAGTAAATCTTAAAAAAAAAAAAAAAAATCCCAGTGCTTATGTGAAGCAACATATAACTGGGCTCCAGAATAAACACATGAGAATAGCCATGTTCCAATAGAACTTCATTTATGAACATAGAAGTTTAAATTTTATATAATTTTCTCACATCACCAAGTCCAACTCTTTGAATCTTTAACATTCACTTTCCAAATAAAAAGAACCATTTAATTCATGAGCAGCACAAAACCTAAGCGAGCCTCATGTGGTTTGTGGGCCATCATTTGCTGCTCCTGTTGAGGCTACAAAGAGTCAGTCATATGGGTGGAAAAAAGGGTGGCTGGCCATTGTACAAGGTTAACACGGTCCTCCACTCAGAACTGCCAGCCCATCGGCTGGACGGGATGCAATATACCAGAAAAGGATGATGAGCCCATGACCTGAGCCCTGACTCACTGTAATAACTGTCTTCCAGAATGACCAAGACATAAGCCTAACAATTGATTCTAGAGAAAGCAGCTGTAGGCTGCACAGGGTCATCTAGGAACTCCTGTGTATCAGGGGACTGGCTGCCCCTGTCTCCAAGGCCTCTCTGGCTCTGACAGATGTTCATCATTGGCCATCATCATGAGTAAGGATCTGTGAGGGCTTGAATGTGGGCAGTGGGCAGAGAGATGACAGAGAAACGGAAGTGAAAATACCAGGAGGCTCACATCTAGGAGCTGCAAGGAGAGGAAAGGCTGGAGTTGGGTTATAAGAGATGAAGCAATACTGAGGGATCATAACATTGACCTTCAGCAATGCAGGCACTTAAGGGAGTGCCATGAGCACATGCAGATTGTGACGGGACCATACATACATATTGTAGGGCCAGATGCAATGGCTCAATTGGCTAATCCTCCCCTTGTCAGCATTGGGATCCCATAAAGGCACCGGCTCATGTCTCAGCTAATCCACTTCCCAGCCAGATCCCTGCTTCTGGCCTGGGAGAGTAGTGGAACATGGCGCAAAGCCTTGGGACCCTGCACCCATGTGGGAGATGCGGAAGCTCCGGGCTTCTAGCTTTGGATGTGTTCAACTTCAGCCGTTGTGGCAATTTGGGGAGTGAACCAGCGGATGGAAGAACTTTCTGTCTCCTTCCCTCCATAAGTCTGCTCTTCCAATAAAAAATACAATTAAAAAAAATTGCTCCAACTACCCTGTAATTTCATTAAAAATAAGTACACATTGAAGTATTATTTATTAGTAATAGAAACTGGCCATGGCACAGTAGCCTAATGGCTAAAGTCTTCACCTTGAACGCACTGGGATCCCATAGGACGCTGGTTCTGATACTGACAGTTCCGCTTCCCATCTAGCTTCCTGCTTGTGGCCTGGGAAGGCAGTCAAGGACGGCCCAAAGCATTGGATGCGGGGACATTCAATGCGGGGACTTTAGCCGCTAGGCCACGCTGCCGGGCCCCAAAAATAAAAATTTTAAAAAAGAAAAACTAGGGCCTGGAGGCATGGCCTAGAGGCTGGCTAAAGTACTCGCCTTGAATGTGCTGGGATCCCATATGGATGCCGGTTCTAATCCCAGCAGCTCCACTTCCCATCCAGATCCCTGCTTATGGCCTGGGAAAGCAGTGGAGGACAGCCCAAAGCCTTGGAACCCTGCATCCTGTGTGGGAGACCTAGAAGAGGCTTCTGGCTCCTGGCTTCAGATCAGTACAGCTCTGTCCATTGGAGCTGCTTGGGGAGTCAGTAATCAGTTGGAAGATCTTTGTCTCTCCTGCTCTCTATGTATCTGATTTTGCAGTTAGAAAAAAAAATGTTTTTGCAAAATTAAAACCAAGTGCTGTCATGAGTTCTTTTGTCCTCTTAATAAATTAGTCAAGTGTGTGGACGGTATCCTGCAGCTGCTGGTTAACTCCCTAAATGCCAGAAAATACGAACACAGCTGAACTAGGCTGCAGCCGGGAGCCCGGAGTTCTAGTATTTCATGTGGGCGTCAGGAGCCGAAGCTTTGAAGCCGTCATCTGCTTCCTTCCAGGATGGATCAGCAAGAAGCTGGATGGGAAGGGGAATAGACAGGACTCCAAGCAGGGTTCTGATACGGGATGTGGTGCCCTAATCTGTTGCCCCCACAACACCAGCCTTTCCCCCCTTTTATTTTTAGTGTTGTTTTACTTAAAATTTGTTCTTTGAGGCAGGCTAATGCTGATCATGTCATTGCACTACATTCAAACCTCTATTAGGGGAGCGACGGTATTGTTTTTGGGGATTTGATGGTAAGAAATGGAAGAGGAGTGGGTGGGTGCGGTTGTGGAAGGGAGCAAGGAGCATTTCAGAAGGTGAAATTCTTCAGGCTGGCACTGTGCCATGGCACACAGGTGCTCTTGATTACAGAGAAGGGGTAAAGCTGCACCCTGTGACACCGGCACCCCGTATGGATGGGCACCAGTTCGTGTCCCAGCAGCTCCACTTCCCATCCAGCTCCCTGCCTGTGGCCTGGGAAAGCAGCTGAGGATGGCCCAAAGCCTTGGGACCCTGCACCCACGTGGGAGACCCTGCACCCACATTGGAGACCCGGAAGAAGCTTCTGACTCCTGGCAACCAAATGACTCAAACTTCAGCCATTGTAGCCCTTGGAGGAATGAACTAGTAGATGGAAGATCTGTCTCTCCTCTTTATGTAAATAATTAAGTAAATAAGTAATCTGCCTTTCAAATAAATATTTTTTTTTTAAATAAAGAAGACAGTACTGTGCTTAGCACACAAGTGTTTAGCACCTCAGGATCTTCGAAACGGCCTCTCTTCCTGAAATCCAACAAGGCACAGTCTTAGTCCACATCTGCTTGTCTAGCTCAGAAGTAACTTCTCCCTTGGTGGTGGTGAAGTCACTGGCACGTGTGTTTACTCGAACTCAAGCACGCGCAGCCTATCCCTTGCAGGCCCCTGACTTAGCAAAGGCCTTGGGTCCCCGTGGGACAAGAGCTCAAAGGAGACTTCTCTGAAGGTTTCTGCAGGAATTACTCTCTGCCTTATAAAGGAAACGCAGGAAAATGCCATCCTTCTCCCACTGGTCACAGTGTTCGCATACACACGACCAGGTGTGAGCACAGGATGACTGAATCCATCTTGGCATGAGGCCAAAATCAGGAGAAAT